ATAAATCATAACCTGTCACAAATATGTCATAACAGGTATAATTATAACACTTAAAGAAGGTATTTAGCTTTGTGTTAACATTATATTACCTTGTCAAATGTGATGGTTGGTTTTAACTTTAGTTGTCATGAGTCATGACACCATTATAACTGTGACATGAATATTTTACTTGTCCTCAAGTAAAGTGGAACACATTTGTACTAGTTATAAAGATGTCATTAAGGGTTATAAAGATGTCATTAAGGGTTATTACACTGTCAAATGCTTTAACAACAGTGTCATTAATAGTGGAACACGTTGGACTAGTTATCATTTCTTGGTTAATGTCAAGTTGTCATAATCAAGACATTTTAAACAATGTCAACTTTGCATTAAAAGTGTCATAATTTACCGAATGACACTTAATGACAACAGTCATAAACATTCATAAAGACTCCTTCATGTTCATGACAGGTGTTATGTCATGTTTATGACAGTGTCGTGTCAGTCTTATGCACACCCCTTCAAATAAAGTGCTACCAAAAAAAACACACCTACTTATACACCCTAATTAAGGACAGCTGCTTTATTATCTGAGTTGATGTGGTGACTAAAAAACAGGGTATTCCCAAATATCGGACATCTACTGACCAGTTTCTTAGCGGACACCCTGTGGTGGGTTTTCAACCTAACTGGCAATTAAAATTAATGTGATTGTGCTATTTCTAATTTCTTCAACATTTATGCTGTGTTTTGGGGGATATTTTGTTTCTGGATATTGATCCAGGTGTTAAAGTTCTGCCATTTGCTGGTTAGATGAAAATACCGTATGTTGGAATCACAATTTTAGAAAAAAAAAGTGTTTTGACCATATATATCCACCAGAGGGCCACAGAACTCCATTCATTTTCTGAACGTGACCAACTGCTCCTATCACAACTTATTTAAATATATATATATATTGTGTGAATATGTATATTTAAACATTATAAAATACATTAAAATGTTTTGCAGTAATGGCATGTGAATTAGCAAAAACATAACTAAAATGCAGTGAAAAAAACTAGTCCAATTATATTCACAAATTTATTTCAATAAACCAAATTTTAAAAATCACTAACGTTAAAATAAGAAATTTGTTTAAAAATTGAAAAAAAAAAAAAAAAACGTAAATGAGACAATTAGCAGTTAGCAGAATTTAACGTGTGTGTGTGTGTGTGTGTGTGTGTGAGCGAGCGAGCATGTTTATTCCACATTGCATTTGTGGTCTAATACCAGACCTTCATTTATGTGTGGAAACTTTCAGATTTATTGATTTTAGAAAAAAAAAGAAAATATTTCTGTTTTCAATGTTCGGTCTGTTAGGTCCTGAAGACATTTTTTACACACCTTCAGAACAACCAAATCAGCCAAAGTGTGTGTGTTTAGATAGATTGTGAGACAAAATTCACGAAATCTAATGCAGCAACAATAGCTGAGCTGAAAGAAACTATTCTTTTTAACGAGGGAAACATCAAATGTCTCGATCAAAGACCCAGTGAGGGTTACTTCCATTCCTAATGCACCAATCACTCAATCGTTGTCTGCGGTCTCCTGTGTCCTGTTCCGTACTGCAGTTTCCTCGTTCTGTCTGCATTACTTCACCCATTCACCAGCGGACTTCACTGCTTCACCACCATTCATCTGTGTTGTCCGTCGAGGTCCCTGAAGCTGTCCCAAAGCTTGCCTACTCTTTTGCTACACACTCAAAAGTATGTACGTTTTCTTCACAAAAAGAGTACATACTTTTAGGGCGTAGTATAAGTAAGCGAATTGGGACGCAGCATGTGACACTTACATTGGCCATTGACTTACAACCTGAATGTGCATAGTATGCAGTACAGTGGATAGATATGCGCTAAACACATCACAAAAAGATTATAATATAATTACACAAAATTAATAATATTACTAATAAACAATGTGTTATTAAGAACTAAGATATTTACTTCGTGAATTACTAATTTAGCACTATCAGAAGTAAAGACGTAAAGTACGTCACTCTGTACAGCTCCTCGAAACACAACTACTACTAATGTTTTATTTGATTTTATATTTGAAAAAACTTTGAATATACTGTAGAGTTATAAAACAAAAGAACATTAACCATTTTTTGTACTTATAAGATACGCATGACATAAACCAAAATTAAACGAAAACAATTTTCTCGATTGTTATAGGAACTTTATAGTGGACTTTATAGTTTATGCAGTGAAGCCGGAGCGGGATACTTTCTTCTCTCCAGTAAGTGTGAGTGGTGTGGATCTGTCGAGTGATTGTTGAATGCTTTGAGTGAGGAGAAGAAATTGTTGTTGAACAATCCCTTCTGAGAGTGATCCAGTTTCTCGTATATAAAAAAAAAGAGGAAAAGAATGGATTACATATTGACAGCAATAAACAGTTAGCAATAGCGATGAATGAAAACGTTCAACAGTTGCGATAACAAATGAGAGGCTGTACAGGGACGTGCAGAGAGTTCCTGAGTAAAAAAGGGGCATATATATAGCATTTTAAGTATAATAGTATATAAGTAGCCAACCAGCCAAAAGTTTGGACACTAAACTTTTAAGAATTTTTTTTAAAAATACAGAAAGAAAAAAAAACTATTACTACAATTTGAAATAATTGTTTTCTGGTATAATATACTTATAACCTTTGATAGTTTTTTCATGATTATTAGTTAAAAAAAAAAAAGAACAGCATCTATTTAAAATATAAATATTTTACCACAGCCATGTGCAAGTGATCTGTGGGCACAGGCGCTATGTGGCTGTAGTTACAAGAGGTAAAAACGATATAATACTGTTCGTTTTCTCATACAAACCGCTCGTTTCGTGTCTTAGGCCATCAATGTGTACTTACATTTACGAGTCATTAAATCATGTTTAATTTGGACTTCTCTGTGAATGCTCTTTGAGGTGGTGACCATAGACCTCCATTATATGATTGACAGACAAGAACGGTTTGACCTAAAAATATCAAAATTGAAACTACTGCGGAAACAAAGACACCTACATCTTGGATGCCCTTGAGGTAAGATAAAACATATCAAAAATTAATTTCAAAGGAACTATCCCTTTAATTTTTTATTCATCAATTAATCCTGAAAAAAAGTATAAAAAAAACATTAAAATAGAAGTGTCCAAATATTTGACCAGCAGTGCAGTACTATTATACTATTTCTGCATAATTACCTAGTGTAATTATGTTAAGGCTACTGAATAATAAACAGTGTATCAATTTACATAGACAAAATTCAAGTGACTTGTATACTAGTATAAATGCTACTTTTGGTGCAGTGCTTTGTAGCAATTAACATCCAATAATTCAACGACGCAGATTCAGATCGCTTCATAAATGTAAATTCATCTGTCCATGTAATTTTCAAACAATTTATGAATGACCTGAAAATTACCGCTCCACTTGAACTTGTTGTGCCAGATGACGATTGGTCGGTGTATTATACATGACAAACAGGCTTCAATGAATTATGTAATATTTAAAAATGTGATATGTGGATTTTTAATTGAATCGACACACGTTAGCCTAGTTTGTTATTGAAAAAACTATATAAAAATACTTGTTACTGAAAGAACCATATTTGTATCGCGAGCATCGGTTCCCGAGCAGCTGTGGAAAAGCCAATACCTAAGTTATACGTGTACTCCAGTGCATTTTCATTTTAACTAACTTTCATTACGGTTGCGCCTGCCGTCCACAGAGTTTTCGACCCTTGAAAGCGGAGATTGACCTCTAATTTTATCGGGTTTGTCTCGGGTCTGGTTTTTCTTTTATAAAAAGTTATTTATGCACGTAGGGTTCGGGTAAGTAGAGATTGACCTCTTCAGTGAGTCAAGTCCGAAGCAAGACAGTCACATGCAAGTGACGCAACCCACAGCAACGCCAACACATTATGGCAACGACACCCCAGACTGACAGAAACGTAAAAATTAAGGGTACTTTGGTCTTGTACACATTGTCATGTTAATTATTATCAAAATGCATTTTGTTTTATTGACCACAATATTATCATTGATATTTGTTTGAGAAGGCACTTTTGATCAATTTTGAAACCCCCCCCTCGCCCCTCTGCACATGCCTGCTTCTTTTAAAACATGGCCCAAATATTTTATTGGTACCAAATAGTTGTAGTCTTTGCTCATAAAATATCTGTGTAAAGCCTAGTTCACACTACGTGATTTTAAGCCCGATTTAAGCCCGATTTGCAAATCGTTGAGTCGCCGACAAGTCAGGGTGTTATCGCGTGCAAATCGCGGGCGATTAGCGGACGATTAACGCTCGCCAATCCGATAGTGTGAAAGAGCCAACAACGCATCAAAGACAGCTCGCAGACAGGTCACCGAGCTCAGAAAAATATCTAGCATGCTAGATATCTCGAGCAGTCGCGCGACTCAATCTCAGTGATGTCATGAGTACAGCCAATCATAGCAACGCATGGGTTGAGGACACCAGGTAAATCTTACTTTTTCTTTTTTGCATTTTTTTTTCTCAGAGCAGATCGTCGAGCAAACAGTGTGCAGCACTAGTTTCTGTCTGACGTCCATATTCGCGTGTTGTGTTCTTCTCTGCAGTTTCGCGTCATTTCTGGTTCGTTTTATTGCGTGGTTTTTCGTGACAAAACATGGTTTCTAGACCAGATAGAATCGTGTTGTTGTCAACTCGTTATTTGTTTGATTATTTTCAGGATTTAGACCGTACTATAGTACTGAAACAGCTCTCATTGAGTCACAAATGATATGCTCTTATCATGTGATCGTGGTTGTATCTCTATGTAGTGCGTTGTTAACTCGTGTAGTAAGTTACCTCCTGTTGTGGATCAATCACGCTGTGTTGTGTGGTGTGAACAGCTAAACAACTTGAACACTCATGATTTCACTGAGAGCAAGTCATGTAGTGTAAACTGCACAGTTCAGCCCGACATTTTAAAATCATGTAGTGTGAACTAGGCTTAAGTGACGTACCATCTACTGACAAAAGAAGTTGAGCTTCTCCTCACAGTCTCTGTGTGTCCAGTCCTCTGTTAGCAGGTCCAGGGCTCCACAACGAAGGTTTCTTTCAGGACACTGGGGCAGTCCCGTCTGAGGCCAGGCCGTAAAGTCAAGATCATCTCCATCGACCCATCTCCACTCTCCTGCTAGAAAGCGCAGACCAGTCCACACATATCCAGTTTCAGACAGTGCGATTTCTTCTGAAGCAGAAGTAATATTTTTCAGACTCGCCAGATCATTATGATGTTTTCTGCAGTATTCCAGAGCGCCTTCCCAGCTCTCATTCTTCAACACCAGAACAAACGTTTTCATGCAGAAGAATTTAAGTTTAACATTGCATTGTTCGTCATGCAGCTTCTTAGAACTGCTGTGTATAAAAGCACATTTTTCATTAGGAACTAACAGATTAGAACTATCCCAGCTAATTCGTGTTGCGTCTTCTCCTCCGGCCCACTTCCACACCCCTGATTCTTTGTGGAGACCAACCCAGGCATCAGAAGTTTGACCAACTGCATCTTCCAAAAACTGCTGCTCCTCGCTCTGAGTGGTGAAGGTGGACAGCTCTTGAAATAAATCTTTGCAGTGCTGTCGCGCAGAATCCCATTTCTTTTCCTCATTGACAAAGTAATGTTGTTTAAAGAGACCGGAGGAGAGTCCGTAGAGCTGCAGGATTAGGAGCACAGCGAGTGTCGTCTTCATCTTCATCCAGTGACGAGGTTTGGTGATTTTTCAATGATTAGTTGAGGTAGAGGCCAGAATTGTGCATGATGACACTGACTCTCTTTTACTTAAACTGACATACAGCCAATGAGAGCAGAGTGTGAGGGTGTGACCAATCACAGCACACCTTTACAGTCAGAACAAACAAATCAGCTGCATTTAACCAACCAAATAACCCTCACAAAAATAAATACACTAAAACGTATTTGACTTACACTTATTTTATGCTAAGTATACTACTAATACATTTACATAAAATTTTTTATACTTACAGTTTTTTTTTATTCGCTTTGGTACTATTTTCACAAGTAAGGTGTACATTTTCAAAACTCTTAGTACAAAAATCCAAACTGATCACACTTGTAACGCAGCTAGTCATTCTTTCAAAACCTGATGTAATGATTTCAGTCAGTTGCACATGTTTTCAGTCCACATAATCATTATTTCAAACACAAGATTATTGTAATATGTAATGAGAACATTTGGTTTAATCACTGAAACACAACAATATGATCTTCTTTCAGTTTAGTACTTTTAACAATCAGTTCATCCAACAGCAAACAATGCAAGATACATGTTTCAAATCGGCCTTAGAAGTGCTGAAATGAATATGCTACAGTACTATAAAAGACAGATTACACAGTTTTACTGTAACATTAGGCAATACACTTACAGTACCCAACATTTACATAATTTCCAAATATCCATCATATATGTAGGCCTAATCAAATGAAGGATCAATGAAGACATCCTCTACAATCATTTAGGCAAATTATAGTTTTTATTTTTCAGATATAATTGTAACATAGGTATACTTTCTATAATGAAATGTAACTACGTAAATAAGAACAAAACATAACATTTAGTGCACACATTACTGTATATAGTGGCCAATTGTGGTTACCACTATGTGAAATCAATTAGCTATAACGAGTATTCATCATGTGTGGTTACATGTAATTTACTTGTAAATATTCATACAAACACACATTTTATTTCTGTAGTTCTCAAAAATCCATATACTGTATATTGCTGAATTGAAAATCTATAGGTTTACCAAATGATTAATTGATTAAACATTAAGATCTGTTGGATTAAATAATAGACAAAAGTAAACTGAACAAAAAGAGATGCAAATCAAAAGTTTGATAGTAAGAGCTTTATGAAAGGCAGTTACTGTGAATGAAACAATAATGTAGATGAAACACTTATTTTGTGTTGTGAAAAGGATACTTTGTGATTGTGTGAATTGTACTAACACAGTTGAAAACATGATGAAATGTTTGAAAAAAGTGCACTTTTGATGATCTGTTGTGATATTAGCACTAAGAGTTTTGAAAATGTACACCTTACTTGTGAAAATAGTACCAAAGCGAATAAAAAAAAACTGTTATATAAATACCTTTCAATTATACTTTTGGTATAAATTGGTACATTTAAAGTCTGCTTAATTGGAACAACTAATGTGTTACTTTATACTTTAATAATCCAGAAATAGTGGTGAGGTCCAACTAAAGATATACTTAAGTATATTTGATTGTGCTAAAGTGGAACTGTTGCAAGTATACTTTAAATATCTTGCATTTAAAGACTGCTCTTATGAAAAAAGTGCACTTAAATGTATTGAAAGTGTGCTTTTGTGTACTTCAAGTCTACTTTTTTAAAAATGCACATGCAGATAATATGTAATTGTAATGTAATATATTATTGTACTGTACTTTACATACTTTCAATTTTATTATGTTTGTTCTAAGTCGCTTAAGCACATTTAATTGCATTAATTGTAATTTTTTTTTACAAATATAGACTAAATTCATTTGCACTCAAATTAAGTTAAAATAAAGTTAATTTTACTACTGACTACACTACACTGTAACTTATTGTGCACTTTCTAAAACTTTGTGGAACGTTTGCATTCACGGCTATATTACACACCATAATAAGTGATAAAGAAATGTACATTGGGCAATGAAGAAGTACTCCAAATAAAGTTAAATTATTATATTAATATAAGTCTTAAGCGATATGCAAGTAAATATGTTAATGAATTTGTTGTAGAATGCTTAGTATAAAATAAATGTATTTTCAATTAGAAAGAACCTGTGGGCAGATAAAACTGACATGAAAGTTTTTTAATGTGCTTCCTAGTTTGGTTAAAGTAGTGTTCCCAGATTAGGCTCTCATTTGATCAATTTATATATATATATATATATTGGGGAAAAATATATATATATATATTAGCTAGTCCCACTATAACCCTTAAAAAATAGCAATTCTGGCATTCTGATATACCTCTGTATCTGTTATCACCTGGCTTTCTCTCATGTACGCTGTTTTACAGGATTGTATTTACATAGACAAAGGTATATGGAAAGGTATGGAAATGCAAAAAATGCTAATCAAATCCAGTAAAATCAATCGTGAATGCCATCCAAATAAGCTGTCAAACATTTTCCTTTGGAATCAGTGGTGATTGATGGTAAGACAATCTGCAGACACTGAAGGACTATCCATGAACAATGCCCATCAAATGAGCAGAGCACCACTGCAAAGATCAGAGATTCCCTACCGAGCCATTAGAGAGTCGTAAAAATAAATCCGTGGTGCCCTAATTTGCTGAATTGACAGTCTCTCCCATGCTTACCTTATCTAAAACACCAGGGTTTGTGATGAAAATTCTAATCAATAAAGAAGACCTTCCTTGTTCCACAAACTTAAAAGCCCTGCATGACCAAATGGCCAAGAGACACCTTTGTAACTGAATGCATAAATCCACGTCAGAGAACAGAGACACAACAAGATTAAATACAAAATATTTTCTTATATGTATTGACTCGTTTATTCATCTGACTCCATAAAAGGAATAGGTTTTAATGATATCCGTGCATCATTAAACGTTAGTGAATGTTTGATTATTCAATTCGACACTGATTTTAGTTTATCCGTAATCAGGAAACAATATCGCTCTGCAGTACTTTTCTCAAAGCCCACACGACACACCCCCGTCAGTTCCAATAACCAATTCAGAGGTAATTTGACTTAATATCTAAGATCTGCCGTATTCACACGTACAATCAGAGATATCTTTACAAGTCCCCTTGAATGCCTCCTCTAGAACTTAAATCAATGTATTACCATGGTAGGGACGAAAATGACCACCATGAAAGAAAAACATTTATCCACTCAACTTATCTTAAATGGCTTCAGGTCAAACCCCACGATCTGAGAACCACGCACGTTTATCCAAAGTAATCATTAATTTAGAACAGTGAATATGGGCACACCCAAAACTAGGTTGATTAAAACAGCGTTTGCTGATTCTAGTCGGAAAATAACTTGCCCCGTCATTCAAGTACACTTAAAATGGTATCGGATATTAGCCGTCGCAAATCTGACGTGAAAGATGTGGAATTACGTTTACAATTTATTGAACAAGCAATAATTCAAATCCGATTCAAAAGGATAAAACGATCAGTTAAGCATTTTATAGCAAAGATTCTGAAATCACAGAATTTGAAGAAAATATTAGTCTGTCAATAAAATTACACACACCGATTGTGTGACCTTTCTGCTCCTTTTCCTTATAAACCTTGTCTGGGAAAACCCAGACAAACCCAGACAACTTCCGGAAAATTTAGATTTGCTCTGCAAGTTAGTCTGGCAAAGAGCTCATTCAAACCCATTTCCAATCCGCCGAAATCGTGGCACCAATCAGAAACGTTGGGGCGGGCTTTACACGATGACGACAGCATAGCGACAGTGAAGCAGATTTTGTTCATTAACAAAGGGGTATGACGGTTATAGTTGAATACCGTCATTAGAACTCTATAACCGAAAATGAAAATTTTTTTTCACAATTTTTTTTATCACAGAGAATGTTTAAATAATAATATCAGCTTACGAGGGAAACGGAGGCCGAGTTAGTGGTGCTTCAGAGACTGCTGCTACTGCTGGAGATGATTCGGGAGAAGTCTGTGCACCTCTTACCGATCAGAGCGCGCGCTGACACTGAGTAAAGCCTTGTTTATACAAGCCTTGTTTAAAAATGACGCGTTCGGTGCGCAAGACCAACCCCATTTCCCTTAGCTGTGTGCATGGCTTTTTTTTTTTGTAGCGGCGCCACGTCCGAGGATAAACGCCACGTCAAGCTGAATCTGCCCGAGCATGTACGTCTCACCCACAGACAGTAAGGTCTCACCAGACCGGCACGCAGTTTGCGTGTCTAAATTGCAAAGTTCATTGCAAAGGTTTTTTTTGTTAAGGTTTTGTGTGATAATGGAGAGCACATTCACTTATAGTTGTCTAGCTGTTCATTTTAAATAAATGTAGAGCAAGTAGCTAATCAGATTGTCTGTTCGTTTATTCAAACAGACGAACGTCGCTCTGCATACGTCATCTCATTCAGCGCTCTGATTGGTTTTACGTCTATCCAATTGCGCCTTTGAGGCATTTGAGCTACGCCCCTTTGGAAATGATTTGTTTATGAAGCTTTGCCAGACCATAACTCAGTTACAAACTGAGATGGTCTGGTTTTAACCAGGCTATTATAAACCCAGATAATTCAATTATCACCAAATGGTGAGGTCTGTCATTACAATTGGATTTTGGTTGTGTATTCAGGAGCTCACATTGTGATGTCTGCCTGATTTTACATACAGGAGGCAGTCTGAATGAAGCTGTTAAGGGACACATCACCTTTCTCATGTTTCATAACTTCTTTTAGCTTTTCATCATAAAAGGGAGAATGAGACCATTTTACCAGGCGCACTGTGACACTTCAAAAAACACCAAACATGAATAGTTACATTTTGTACAGCCAATTGTCTCCTGCACGGATTCAGTCCATCCTGGCCATTGGTGACCAGGATAAAGCTAGGCCAAGCCATCACTGTCAAACACTTTCAGAGAATATTAGGACTCATGCTAGCAGCGTCCAACACCATTCCATTCGGCCTGCTGCACATGAGGGCCCTGCTGTG